AGCGTCTCGAGACCGATCGGCGTGACTGCCGTCACAGAGAAAAGCGTCAACGAAAATGACGTCGAGGTATCATCCACAATCACTCTCTTTCCAACAACTTAAATAATTTATACTAAAAGAGAGGAGATTAATCTTAATTTTAAGTATAAATATGTTTTTGAACAAAATTTTAATAGACAATAAGTTTTTTTTTAATAGATAAAGTTCTGAAATTAAATAATAAAGTTTTGTCGTTCAGAATCAAAATTTAAAAAATCTCAATTCTCCAAAAGAAATATTGAATATTAAAATAGTGAAACAGAATGCCAAATTTTGAAATATTTCTAAAATAGAATATGTATATGTTTGTATTTGCAGAAAGTAATACAGACCACTGAACTCGTAACGGAAACGGCAGCTGTGACGGAAAAGGAAACGATCTCATCACACGCACTCGAATCTTCTACCGAAGCCAGCATGAGATCGAGACGTACGTCTAGCAGCAATAATCCCAGCAAGAATCGCAAACGAACGAAGAACAAGACAAAGAATAAAAAAGGAACTACAGGAACTACAGGAACTACAGGAAGCAGCAACAAGAACAAAGTAATTGAAAAATCTATAGATACTCGCGGACACATTAGATAAAATCGTCATTTTTTATCAGAATCTGAATCTAAATTCAAATCTAAATCTGTTTGAAACATATATATTTTTGTGACTTGGGGAAGAACGGAACGGTTTCGTGAATCTAACATTATTTTCAGAACAAATCTACTAAGAGCAGACCGAAAGCGAGAGCCACTCTGTACGGATTGGCGTCCCTGCAGAGAGCAGGCGACGTGTCGGTGAACATGATGAGCGATCATACGACCATCAAGACCAGGTTCAGTCTGGGACCGCTCATACTGAAAGTCGAGAAGGAGTTTGGACGTGCCGCGAAGAAAGAGCTGAGGAGCGCGACCGCTACCACGGCCGAGATGTCCGGTAAATTGAGTCTACGCGTGTTGCACGGAGGTGCGGCGACGCTGCATTCTATTCGGGTTTTACAACCTAAACAGGTACGTATATCGAGATAGCGAGGGAAGAAAAATGCGATGAACAGTTACGGTAACGCGTGAATCTTGTCAAACCGGAATTCCGATGGATAAACAAATATGTAGATAAACGAATTTCAGAATTTCTCTCTACGATTATTAATTTTACCGGTGCCGTTATTTTCACGACGTTATTTTTATGCAGAATTTCTGTTTTGTGTTAGATTACAATTAAACCCTGATAAATTTCATATGTGTATATAGTGTCATCCAAAAATTCAAATAAATTTTAACTGTAAAAGATATTAATTTAGAAACCTGAAACATTCTGTATATTGATTGTCAACGTCTCGATAAAATCATCTTAATATAAAAGCATATAATGACTATTTTTCTTAATATTTTCAGTTTAGCATTATAAAAAAAGATTTGTTCAAATATTTTATGCACACATACACACACATATGTGACCTAAGATGAGAATTTTTATTTCTTAAAAATTCGATTTTATCAGGCCATGGCTGTTAATTTAATGCATATCAATATTATGCACATATTACACAATATATTATAATAAAATTGGAAATATTTATATTCGCCGTATTAAATTAAATGTTTCTTTAGGTTCGAGTGGAAAGCCAAGACGATCACGATAGAACGCGAGAATTTGTATGGAAGAGATCGTCGCATATCGCACATTTGGTGTCGCAGAAACTTTCTTCAGCCACCAGGTCGATGCTTCGACCACCACCTGCCGCTTAAGCTACATTTACTTTTTGGTCCAACTGAAACCGTCAATATTCGCCATCGAAGTATCATGAAGATCGAACGCAACATACCGCTGCGCGCGATCATTTTAATGGTACGTCATTGGTTATCGAATCACTGGTTATCGAAACTGCGCCGTTTGACTTTGACAGATATACGTGTACAATTAAATTTGCATTAAACGACGCGCATCGATCATCTCTTCCCTCACTCGCGAAATAACGCGAAACGAGAAGCAACTCACACGCGAGAGAAAGTAATGAAGAGATATATGTAAGAGATGTCCCACTTCCATTTTAAAATAATTGATTTATTTGGCCAACTCGAGTCAATTTTTGCTCGACAAAAAAGCACTTGTGATTCTCGAGCAATTAAACAAAAAATGTCTTGCTTTAAGCTTAAATTCCGATAAGAAAAAAATATATAACATTTATATTCTCCAATTAATTTCATCTTAATTTGAGACTGAAGGTTATATTAAATATGCAGAATTACACGATTATTGATTGACTTTTCCTCAAACATTATTACTACGAAAAATTGACTCCACAAATTGTTCAAAGGATCGAAAAATAGTATAGCAGAAGAGGGGCACCCTATATATTATGGATTTTATGTTGGACCAATTTCGGACGATTGTACTTTATTTATTATTTATTTATTTATTTGTCATATAGTTTGTAATTTGCCTTCAGAAAGTCTGATATATGTATCCTAGAAATATGGTTAAATATTGAAACATGTAGGCGCAAGCCATTATATGAATTAGGCCGTTCTATGTGGATAAGTGTAAACAGAAATCTGTTGCCACAATTTTAGAATACAAAATATATATAGATGAATATTATATATTTATTCCAATATCCACATATTCTCTATTTCCTGAATAAAAAAATCTTATAAGGCAATATATATATATATATAATTTTTATATATTATACACACGAGAGAGAATTCTCTTAAAATACTTTCACTTTATTATTTTTTGTTTATTATTTTGTATCATGTGTCTGTTAGTCAGAAATAGAAGAGATTTATTTCGAATCGTAAAACTACCCACAAACAGCACAAAAAGGTCACATGCATCTTAAAAGAAAATTTAAAGGACGATAAAGATATCTTTAAATCGTTTTTTAAATGTCTTCTAGAAATATATAACATCTGGGAAGACTACTTAGATAAAACACGATATAATGATTCTTTTATTTTGTTAGAACAGCGCTTTGACGTCACTATCAAGAATAAATACGGATTTACATACAAACGTTTTCACCGGAATATATTACGGAACTCCGTGACTTTATTTATCTAACCTTTATTATATATGCGCAATTTACCTGCAGTTTATATCTGTAGTTTTATGCGACTCTTCCGCACGGTATCATAATATAATATAATTTTTATAAATTATACACACGAGAGAGAATTCTCTTAAAATACTTTCACTTTATTATTTTTTGTTTATTATTTTGTATCATGTGTCTGTTAGTCAGAAATAGAAGAGATTTATTTCGAATCGTAAAACTACCCACAAACAGCACAAAAAGGTCACATGCATCTTAAAAGAAAATTTAAAGGACGATAAAGATATCTTTAAATCGTTTTTTAAATGTCTTCTAGAAATATATAACATCTGGGAAGACTACTTAGATAAAACACGATATAATGATTCTTTTATTTTGTTAGAACAGCGCTTTGACGTCACTATCAAGAATAAATACGGATTTACATACAAACGTTTTCACCGGAATATATTACGGAACTCCGTGACTTTATTTATCTAACCTTTATTATATATGCGCAATTTACCTGCAGTTTATATCTGTAGTTTTATGCGACTCTTCCGCACGGTATCATCATTGCGTAAATCACTTTGTCACCGATAATATTTCTGCCGATTTTCTATTCTTCGCCATTTTTTTATCGTAATATTTTTCCGGAAAACTCTTTTACGTAATTTAAAAGAAGAAGAAACGCGCACAAATACACTCCCGTATGGCCAGAGCGAAAAGAAAAAGGCCAAGTGGTACCCTCTTTTATTCGAAATAAGTACTAATTTCGCGTTCAACGCGCACGCGCGGTCCTCGCGCGCACATCTGTCCACTGACACGTGCGCATTGCGCATATTGTTTGCTTTCGAAAAGCAAATAGTCGTCGTCGCGACGTCGACGCGATAGTACTCAGCGTGAGAGGAGATTCGCGCTCTCACCAAGTCTCGCGTAAACTTTCTTCGGCTATCCCTACCACCGCTTCCACCTCCGCTGTCACATCGCGTCGATGTTGTAACAGTGTGTTGTACGAGGTAAAATCCAAGAAGATCATTCGAAGCGCAACGACATATTCTTACGATTCGTGTTCGTTGAAATAAAAAAAACTTACGATCACAAAAATTTCGCTCATTGTACATACATATATGCATGCGCGCAATATACGCGCGCGTGTGCCCGCTGGATGCTCCTGTTGCATCGTAATCCCGAAATAGGATCAAGGATAACGACGTCGTAATTTTTTTCATAACTACTTGGTGCATCGAGAGTCAAGAAACCGGTCTTATTGTGTTTAAGTAAGTCCTCTTGGAAAATTGTCATTTGTACTCTTTTTATCTTTTCTCTCTTAAATGAAATAAGATAGAATAAAATATACACATATACATATACATATATATATAAATATAACATTTAATATCTATAATATATATTACATTTTATATATATATATATAATTTAAGTTTGTGCGCCTGCATATGTGTAAAAAAGAATAAAAGTATTAAAACGAAATAATTTTCAAATATCTTATCAAACGTAAAAATTTTTTTTTTTCAGTTTCCATTTTAAAGAGAAACACATTCCGTGTAACTAACTTACTGCAAAATGGTTTCGTTAGTGGCGAGCGTCAGAGTTACCAGCACTCTTCATCATCTTTGCGTTTATGCCGCAAGGACGTTGACTACAAGCGTGATGCCAAGTCCGAAGGACGAAGCAAGAGAAGTGATCGTTAATTATTTAGATGGAAAAGATAATGGCATCGCTGTATTAGGGCTGAACAGACCGGTAGCCCGTAATTCCCTCGGAAAGGTCTTGATGTCTCAGTTGAACGAGGCGCTAGCTTCTATTAAGCAGAACAATAAACTGAGGGTACTCATCATACGCAGCTTGGTCCCGAAAGTATTCTGCGCCGGGGCTGATCTGCGGGAGAGATTGAAAATGAACACGTCCGAGGTGCCGCAATTCGTATCTTCTCTGAGAGATCTCATCACCGATGTGGAGAACCTACCGACTCCAGTGATATCGGCCATTGATGGTGTTGCACTGGGCGGAGGATTGGAACTCGCATTGGCAACCGATATCAGAGTCGCCTCTTCGGAAGCCACGATGGGTCTCGTAGAAACAAAATTGGCCATAATACCTGGTGCCGGTGGAACGCAGAGACTTCCAAGGATAATCGGAGCAGCCAAGGCTAAAGAGTTGATTTATACAGCACGAATTCTGGACGGTGAACAGGCACGCATGATCGGTCTCGTGAACGAGGCGGTCCCGCAAAATAAGACTGGTGACGCCGCTTATCAAACGGCACTCTCCATCGCGAGAGAAATATTGCCCAACGGTCCTATTGGCGTTAGGTAAGTTGTCAATGTCGAAATAATAAAAAAATCGAATTTTTCTCAGAGTTATATAAAAGAAAATGTTTAATATAGTGAAAATTAGAAAAATGTGTAATACAAATCGTAAAAAAGATACGAGACTGAATAAAAAAAGACCAAAGATATAAAAGAAATAAAAGCATTACTGAAAAAGAAAAGAGAATAATAAAGTAAATCAATAGTATAAAAAGTGGAAAATAAAAATAGAAGGAAAATACAAAGAACGGAACTTCTTGGAATAATAATACGTCGTTTCATTATTCGTAAAATGCGGCGATGGCTACTCAGAATCTCTCTTGCGATCGTTTATGTATTATATAATACACATCACACCACATTTGTTTATCTTCTAAACGCGAGTAATACGTTTTTTTATCCAACACTTGAGTTCTATATTTATATCTGTCATAACTATATGTCTCTGATACAGTAAAATACTTATATATAGAAATGGTTTTAATCATCGTGTCTTATCGCTTAGATTGGCAAAAGTGGCTATATCCAAAGGCACGGAAGTGTCTCTGGAAGAGGGTCTGGAGATCGAGAAACAATGCTATAGCAAGATCGTGGACACAAAAGACAGACTCGAAGGACTTGCCGCTTTCGTAGCAAAACGCGTACCCGTTTATCAAGGAGTATAAAAACTTACGGCGTTATCGTAACAAAAGCTTAATTTATATATCATGAAAGGATTTTATAATGTAAACATTTACGGATTTTACGTATAAGCATTTTATATGTAATGCATTTTATATAAGCTTTTTCACACAATATGCATATATANNNTATATATATACATACATTTTGCTGTATGTAAAATTACTATATATGTTGGTTTTGAGATACTTAATGTATTTTTAACATTTTATCCGAACTGCGTTAAAGTTAAAAATTGCGATCAAAATTTATGTAACAAAAGCTATTTAAAGATAAAAAGGTAACTTTAAAAGTTTTTTATGCAATTTGCACAATAATTGCGGATGCAGCATTAACCTTGCATTATGCCTTGTGTGCATTTGCATATGCTAATGAGATAAAGGTGCCTTTCATACGTCAGTAGCAAAAAATTCTACGTCATTTACGTCTTCCAATAAATACCTTAACCTTAACGTTTTCTTTTATATTAACATTGTTATTGTTTAACATAGTTTTAATATATATGTATATGTACTTGTGTATCGCGTAAATGCATTAGGATATTGTGATTGTGTATGTATATGTGAGATTTGTGCGCGTAGAATCTGTCGGGAACACAAAAAAAAATTGCGATGTTCTTAAATTCCGATATTTTTTATTTAATTATTTTATAATTTTTGTATATCAAAGAACGGTAAGAAAACAATCTCCTAAAAGGTCATATATATAAACATATTTCTAAACGGAAATACGGTGTACGCGGAAATATAGAATTTTAAAACACCGAAACTTAATTTAAAATGGTGTAACAATTAAATACTCTATGCTTTTATTACCAGGAATGTTACATCAGCGGCAAAAAATTGAAAAAAAAAAGGGAATACTAGTTTGCTAGTATATTATATGTATTGAAAATATAAATTTATTTTGACCTAAAAAACTATAATTCTTAGACTTATTAAACACATTGTAACGAAACACTAAGCTGCTCCCTTTCTCTATTCTCTTTTACGAGTGCTATAAGGACGTTCAATTGATTCATTGTGTCCTTGGGACAAGTGACGCGATGTCCTATCGTCAAATCGCTCTCGTAAATCTCGTGATCGTTACCGCCCTCCGCCGTTTTATCACCGAAGAAATGTATTTCGTCATACCCCTGGATATGACGTAAACAATATGTTTTATCCCAACCGATAGGAAAAACATCAAAAGAGATCTGTCCCCCTTAGAAAAAAGATAAATATTCGTTTGCTAGAGTTTTTATACGTAATGCATTAATTTTAGCCATTATTATACGATATTTCAAGTTTGTAGTGACTCAAATATATTAACGAGAATAATTAACTTAATTGAAATAATATAATGAGTAGCGTTAATTTATTAAATTAACTGCCAATAATTACTAATTAAATTAAATTTGCTACATATATCATTGGTTTTATATAAATCACTTACCAATACTGTAGGTCAGAGCCAAATCAGGAAACTCCTTTTTAAGGGCTTGTATAAATTTTTCGCGGATGTGATGTTCACTGTCGTATTCAAAAAACTGTTCGCGTTCTTTCTTGGTGCAATTTCGTCCTGTTGGCGAAATGTTCATCATGCCTGTACGAAATTCCACAAATGTTCCACGTTTAAATGGCAACTTCAACTCGGATATGTATCGCAAAACAAAATTTATAAAATCCTGTAAAACATCCTCTCCCAACATGTCCTGGATCGACTAAAATTTGATATATATATGTGAGTATAAAATAAATATAAGTAATTTATTATTATTCTTAAATATAATCACCTTGATTACTTACTTGCGACGGCAGAGCTTTGCCATCCTTGAATGCAACAAGTCCATTTTCTGCAAAGATATACTTGTACCTTTCAAACAGATTTTCACTACCTAATTGTTCTTGAATCTTGTTTAAATCAGATCCTCCAACAATCGCAATGTCAAACTCTTTTTTCACAGTCTCCAGAAGAAACTTTTCAATACTAGGACTGATTGGCTATGGAAAGCAAACATAAATTTTATTAAAAAAGGTAAGATGCAAAATATGTCGAATATAATAATATCTAGATAAAGAAAAACATTATTTATATAAAAAAATAGAATATATATATTTTAATAATAATTAAATATATATACACGATTTTTTCAATATTTAAAACATACCTGTCGTGGTTCAGTGAGCGTGCCATCAACATCAAATAAACAAATAATTTTTTTTGACATGATGCAATATCTTGTTGGATATCTTGTTTGCTAGAGAATCTGAAACACATATTGTCACTTTATACACATAGAAACATTCATTTCCACATGGCGATATTACATAAATAGATTACATACAGAATAAAACAAGCGAGCAAATTTTTAAAATTATATTAACTACTTTCAAATATGTTTTTTCTATTAAAAACGATATCAACTTCGAAATGAAGGAAAAGATTATCAGAAAGCTGGACTTCACACATCACGTGTCGAGCCTGATTAGTAAAAAAGCAGGTAACAATCCGTCCCCTCCATTTACTCTCCCACTAACTTTTTAGCAAAGGGATTTATGTATATGTATAGTGATAAACTTCATTCAATACTCGTTGCTCTCATTGTCAACCCTAAATCTCAATGTTTTATTGAATTGTAATAAGATTACATTTCTATTAAAATTGAGCGTATTCGCAATTTGCAAACATGCAAATGTAGGTGTATCTTCAAACAAATATAATGAGTGTCTATCTAACCTTTATTTTAAGGGGAATGCGATGACATTTTGTTCATGTAAAGGGAATCATTTTGGAGCAGTTTAATCTACTTAGTCTATAATTAACGATGTTTAACTGCGATCTTATGAAAATAAAATTGAAGAGAAAATGATATAAACACGTGTATGTACATGTGGCTTCGACATATCATCATACATTAATGAAAAATGAAAATACGTTGTGTATGTACCAATCGAATAGCAAAAAAATGTCAAATTTAAATCCGAACATATCGAAGCGTTTTCTCGCATATTCATATTTTGCTGTATCTTTGCCTTTGATTGGCTCTCGCGATAACGAGCAAGATTGAATGTCTGATAGATAATCGATCTCATTTATTATTCATTTATTTTATTTCAGAAAAGCAGAATATTTTTGATCGGTGACATTGGCAGCAGTTACATGCGTCATTCATATAAGCATAAGCCATTCATACATACACTAACACTATACACATGTCAACAAGTGCTACGAAATGCCCTGGAACAATCGTTTAAATAAATCGTTGTGTCTTTTGTGCATTATCTCTTTGGCATTACATGATACGCATGGAGATGCTGACGCAGCTCAAAAAAATGTGCTCTTGTTGCTGGGTGTGTGTAACTTGACGTTTAATTTTTTTAGGCGTATTTTATTAAAAAATACGATTTTTCAAATATTTTATTGAATAAATTGAAATAAATTGCAATTGCACTGTTGTTTTGTAAAAAAATTTAAAATATTATTTTTTTAAATATTAGAGTTATATATATCTAAAAATATAAAAAAGAATATTGTCAATAATAGAAACTATAATTCTTTTTAGTTACCTTTAAGTATGAAAAATTATAAATTTTATAAATTAAAATTTTTGTCGTAAATTATAAATTATCTAAATATAGATCTAAGATTTCACTTATTATTTGAAATAATTATCTATAATTCACAGCTGATGATGCAGGATTTGAAATGCGATCCTACTTGAATAAAATCTGTCAAACTCCTAATTTGGATAAGTTAGCAAAAGAGAGTCTATTGTTCGATAATGCATATACATCAGTCAGTAGCTGTTCACCAAGGTGAACTGATTTTTGTTACAAATTCAATCTAATTATTATGAACATATAAATTTCTTAAATTTTCAATTTATAGTCGCTCCGCAATATTAACTGGATTACCAAGCCATCAAAATGGAATGTACGGTCTTCATCATGGAATTCATCATTTTAATTCTTTTGATGATGTTCAAAGTTTACCAAAAATATTGAAAAGAAACAATATACGAACAGGTAAAACAATAATAATGATTAATAGGTATGCATATATTATCATATCATGTTGCTTTTTTCTTTTTGCAGGAATCATTGGCAAAAAGCATGTAGGCCCAAGTGACGTTTATCCATTTGATTTTGCACATACAGAAGAGAATAATTCTATTCTTCAAGTAGGTCGTAATATTACTTATATAAAGCTGTTAGTTCGTGAATTTCTTGCAGTCCAGAATAAAACACAGTAAGTGATATTCCACACATACAACCTATAATCTTACATTTATACAATAAAATAATATAAATATAATGCATATATTTCTTGTATATTATATATAATAAAATATATAATAACTTTATATATATAGTAAATCTATATATTTTTTTTTGTACTTTATTGTACACTATCAAAAAAAAATCCTATCATGTGTGATGTGTGTAAAGATCTTCATTATAATATTTTGCAAAATATTTTTCTAACTATATTAAAATTTTTGTAGACCCTTCTTTTTATATATTGCCTTTCACGATCCACATCGTTGTGCCCATACTCATCCAGAGTATGGCAATTTTTGTGAAAAATTTGGTAACGGTGATGTTGGAATGGGTACAATTCCTGATTGGAATCCAATATATTATCAATGGGAGCAAGTTAAAGTACCATATTATGTTCAAAATACCGAAGCTGCTAGGAGAGATATTGCTGCCCAGTATACAACAATATCTCGTTTGGACAAAGGTATTCCTAGGATATATAAATACTCAAATATACATGTTAACAGTATATATTATGAGCAAGGTATATTTTAGTATATTAAGTGAAGATATTTAAAAGGAATATAATTTTTTTAGGTGTCGGCCTCGTTCTTGAAGAATTGAAAAATGCAGGATTCAAGGATAACACATTGATAATTTACACATCCGATAATGGCATACCTTTCCCAAATGGTCGTACAAATTTATATGATCCAGGTTTGTAAACTTATTTAATTATTTTTGCAAAAGCACGAAAAGAGTGAAAACAAAGAAGTGCCAAGTGACATTTTGAACTAATTTTTATCAAATATTAATAGTATTGTAATAATATTTCAATGTAGTTATTTTTAATAAGTGTGATTTTTGTCCTGCCTCTTGTTCTGAGCATCTCGTTTCACAACATTGTATGACAGATGAGATGAGAAAAAATAGAAATAACATTTCAAGATATTTAAGATATTCAGACGAATTAACTAAAGTATATAATACATGCAAGAATAACAATTTTGAAGGTATAGCTGAACCGATGATGATTTCATCACCGATTCACGGCCACAGGAAAGACAGTGTAACATACAGTATGACTTCTTTACTGGATATAGTACCAACAATATTAGATTGGTTCAATGTAACTTACATGGATTACTTGTCAAACTCCAATGAAGTGTCTATTCCACATCTTACTGGCAAGTCGCTTCTACCATTACTTCTTGAAGGTATGGATATATGTATGCACATATTGAATGCAATATATATATAGTATTCTGTTAAAAAAATTGTATTGTAAAATAATGAATTTCTTGTTTATAGAACCCATAGAAAATAATACGGCGATCTTTGCTAGCCAAACGCACCATGAAGTTACCATGTACTATCCCATGCGTACAATTAGGACAAAACGCCACAAACTTATACATAATATCAACTACAGAATGCCATTTCCTATCGATCAGGACTTTTATCTATCTCCAACCTTCCAGGTAATCTGAAAAAGAGGAGGGGCCATTATTTTTTAACTAGAGCATACAAGTTATTCAAATATAAGTAATATTCATAAATCAATGATATTATGTATTACATATACAGGACATTCTAAATAGAACACAAACTCATCAGCATATATAGTAAATCTATATATTTTTTTTTGTACTTTATTGTACACTATCAAAAAAAAATCCTATCATGTGTGATGTGTGTAAAGATCTTCATTATAATATTTTGCAAAATATTTTTCTAACTATATTAAAATTTTTGTAGACCCTTCTTTTTATATATTGCCTTTCACGATCCACATCGTTGTGCCCATACTCATCCAGAGTATGGCAATTTTTGTGAAAAATTTGGTAACGGTGATGTTGGAATGGGTACAATTCCTGATTGGAATCCAATATATTATCAATGGGAGCAAGTTAAAGTACCATATTATGTTCAAAATACCGAAGCTGCTAGGAGAGATATTGCTGCCCAGTATACAACAATATCTCGTTTGGACAAAGGTATTCCTAGGATATATAAATACTCAAATATACATGTTAACAGTATATATTATGAGCAAGGTATATTTTAGTATATTAAGTGAAGATATTTAAAAGGAATATAATTTTTTTAGGTGTCGGCCTCGTTCTTGAAGAATTGAAAAATGCAGGATTCAAGGATAACACATTGATAATTTACACATCCGATAATGGCATACCTTTCCCAAATGGTCGTACAAATTTATATGATCCAGGTTTGTAAACTTATTTAATTATTTTTGCAAAAGCACGAAAAGAGTGAAAACAAAGAAGTGCCAAGTGACATTTTGAACTAATTTTTATCAAATATTAATAGTATTGTAATAATATTTCAATGTAGTTATTTTTAATAAGTGTGATTTTTGTCCTGCCTCTTGTTCTGAGCATCTCGTTTCACAACATTGTATGACAGATGAGATGAGAAAAAATAGAAATAACATTTCAAGATATTTAAGATATTCAGACGAATTAACTAAAGTATATAATACATGCAAGAATAACAATTTTGAAGGTATAGCTGAACCGATGATGATTTCATCACCGATTCACGGCCACAGGAAAGACAGTGTAACATACAGTATGACTTCTTTACTGGATATAGTACCAACAATATTAGATTGGTTCAATGTAACTTACATGGATTACTTGTCAAACTCCAATGAAGTGTCTATTCCACATCTTACTGGCAAGTCGCTTCTACCATTACTTCTTGAAGGTATGGATATATGTATGCACATATTGAATGCAATATATATATAGTATTCTGTTAAAAAAATTGTATTGTAAAATAATGAATTTCTTGTTTATAGAACCCATAGAAAATAATACGGCGATCTTTGCTAGCCAAACGCACCATGAAGTTACCATGTACTATCCCATGCGTACAATTAGGACAAAACGCCACAAACTTATACATAATATCAACTACAGAATGCCATTTCCTATCGATCAGGACTTTTATCTATCTCCAACCTTCCAGGTAATCTGAAAAAGAGGAGGGGCCATTATTTTTTAACTAGAGCATACAAGTTATTCAAATATAAGTAATATTCATAAATCAATGATATTATGTATTACATATACAGGACATTCTAAATAGAACACAAACTCATCAGCCTCTGCCATGGTATAAAACATTAAAGAAATATTATCAGAGACCAGAATGGGAATTGTACGATTTAAAATATGATCCAGAAGAATTAAACAATATAGCTCCAAAATCGTCTGCAAAGGTAGTGTAACATTGTAATCAAATTAGTCACAAAATTTTCAATAATAGATATAATAAACTTGTATATGTGTTTCACTTTTAGAGTATATTCATTGAACTTAAAGAACGATTGTATAATTGGCTGAAAATAACAAAAGATCCATGGCTTTGTGCACCAAATGGTGTTTTGGAGAACGCCGGACATAACAAACATAATGCTCAATGTATGCCATTGAACAATTTCGACTATTGACATCTGTTCCCAATATTTGTCCGTAATTATTATATAAACATATATTTCTTCTTTTCGTTTTTCACAATTTAGCATTGTGCAATTTATGAATAATAATAAATACTCAAAGTAAATTACAAACAAAAAAGAAAACATTCAATGTAAACCTATAATTTTTAACATTATTTAAATAATAAATAGTAAGAATGAATATAGTAATTTAATACAACAATATAATGTAAGTTTTTCTATAGTCTGCAATATTCATTTAATTTTGTATAAGAAATTAAAATAATGTAATGTAAGAAAAAAAACAAACAAATTTTTATAATTTAAATATAATATTTAGAAGATGTAATATAATATTTACTAATATATATATTTCAATATAAATTTTTTTTACCTATCCAAAATGTTTATGATAAGATAACTTTTGACGTTGAGATATTCTTCGATTCTCTGTCTCGATACTTGGAAAGCATTTCATTTAATTGACGAACATAAGTTGATGATTTGTTTACAGACTTTACCACTGCCTTCAATTCTGTTGCTATTTCATTCATCTAGAAATATGCGATCAATTGTGATGCTCATTTAAAAAATTACATTATCAAATAAAGAATCTATGATTTATAACCAACTTTATAAATAATCTATAATTTATGATAAAATTTGAAACAAAATCCTATTTCTAGTTTTATGTGTGTGTCTGTGTATCATGTAATACAGAAAATGTTAAAAAAAATAAAATACACACTTATAAAACACATAATGATATATAAGGATATTAGATTATGCGGTACATAAAATTATAAATAAATTTTTGTCCAATTATAGATTATTTAAAGCGAATTTAAGTAAATACAATTTCAGTTACATAGCGGTAGTTAATAATTCATACAAATACATAGAAAACTCACATATTGTTTGTAGTTCAAATATCTGTTATATTTTTGATTGTTAGTGTAGATTTGCTTCATTTGAATCATAAATAAGAGACACAAAGCAAGGCCACCCAACACGACGAGAGAATTCGAGTTCTGGAGTCCGCGTAAAACAAGCATCACACTTTTTATATAAACTGTTGGAATAAGTTGAAATAACTGACCGATAAAATACTCGTTACATAATATTAAGTTAAGGATAAACAGAATCATTCCAACAAAGTATTCTCTTGTAAAATGGCAACATAATTACTCTAATTATTTGCACTGTCTCTTTCACATTTATGTGTTTACAAGCGGATCGCTTACTGCGCAGGTTTGTAAACGGTGGTTCACATTTTTACAATATCGATGCGTTCCGAAAATCATCGAAAAGAACAGTGTCACCATCTTTCTGACGTCACAAGAACGCTCCGATATCCAATAAGAAAATATGTTTTCTAGAGACTTGAGTTAAGAATTTTAATTTTTTTTTAAATCAAAGATTAGAAAATATGTTTAAATAAATAAATAAATAATTTTTTTTCGAATATATGCATAAATAATGAATTTGTTATAAATAAATAGCAAATCCTACTTTGCGCATTCGTACATTTCTCTCGGCAATTAGCGATTGCACATGCGCAAGGGAGAAAGTTTGTCCTTTTACCTTAGAACATATATAAATGGAAGGGGAATGCCTTTGTTTCCCGATAGAAAAACATGTCGGAAGGAAGTAAGAAAGAAAATCATAGTTGCCTCTCTCTTGT